AAAGTTCAAGAACATGGTAAAAAATACTAGCTGCAGTTATTTAACCGTTGTTCCATTTTGGAGAAATGATAGGACACAAAGTCTGAGGAGTCAATAACAGGACATTATATAAGTAATGTAATATCTGTGACTACTTAAGACTTTGCTAAATAAAACCAGCTGATCTCAGAAGCTCCTGTCTCTTTAAGAAATCCAGAAATCATAAAAGTATTAACTTTATTATACCCAACGTATAAAGGCAAGTGTGAGTGCAGAGGGTACTTTGCAGCAGTGTGTGGTAAAACAGAGCTGTATTATAGATCAGAGTTCACAGTGGGGGGTCGGAGCGCCCACACAGGGTCAGCAGATAATTATCAGGGTTAGAATTAAAGGCCTTTACAAAACACTCGCATCAAATGTATTCAAACCGCAGCCATGTGAGTTTGGAACAGTTACACTTGTTGAATAAAATATGTTGAACAGATTTTGGTATCCTGTTGATGTAACGCTTAAAGTTAGGGTAGAATGGAGAAACCAGCTCGAGTGCGCTAGAATTTGAAATAACACAACCGAAAAGAATCTGCCCCTTCCTTCAGACTTCCTTACAGAGCCCCTCCTCCAACACACACGAACGCGCACATGACCAATGAGGGCACGAGATAAGTTTGTGCACGAGATGGACGGCTGACAGGCAGGTAGGCCATCCAGTTATCTGCCGCGGGCCGAGGCAGATGATTGGACTCACTTTTTACAGCGCCACGGCTTCCACAGATGTATTTACTGTCAAAGCATTTAATGTATTCATTGCTATCGGGATGTTAAGAGCATTCCATGGAATATAACAACAAGTGTTTCTGAAGTGAATTACCTACCCCACCTTTAAGATACCGTCAATATTCTATTCAGTTTTTCTTTAGAGAATCAAATAACAAATCAAATACATGTTTTATTGGTAGGAAAGGGTAGATGCTGCATTTATGGAGGCTGAAACGAGTAATACAGTCTACTGTTCAGACTACAGAGCCTCCGTGTTGTTTTATAAGCAGTCGTCCTGCCTCTGTCCATTAAGCTCAAACGGTGTATGAGTGATAATATGTGTCAGGGAATTATTTCCATACATGTTTACCTTTCGCCCTCTGACGCAGATGCCCTAACCCTTGAGCAGCCGCTATCTCCCTCGCTCTCGGTCAGAGATAGTTGTTGTTGTGGGACACCTGGAACACATCCTTCTCGGGGTGTAGATGACCCCTAGCCATAAGCGACAACAAATGTGATTCAGTGTCCTCAGCTGTTTAGTCTCTATTGAAGAATGTTGATTATTACACTCTGAACTAGTTAAAACCTGGAGCTACAGGAGGGGTCTTCAGAATTGGTTTTGCCTCTCAACCGTGTGGTCAACCCGTGGCCCGTGACATGTCTTGTGAATTCTCCGGCCGAAGCTCCAAATAAACCGTCAGTGTTTGCCATCAAAGCTCCAGCTCTCCTCGTGTCTCTCTGAGTCCTGACTCCATCAGAGCTCCAGCTCTCCTCGTGTCTCTTTGAGTCCTGACTCCATCAAAGCTCCAGCTCTCCTCGTGTCTCTCTGAGTCCTGACTCCATCAAAGCTCCAGCTCTCATCGTGTCTCTCTCTGAGTCCTGACTCCATCAAAGCTCCAGCTCTCCTCGTGTCTCTCTCTGAGTCCTGACTCCATCAAAGCTCCAGCTCTCCTCGTGTCTCTCTGAGTCCTGACTCCATCAAAGCTCCAGCTCTCCTCGTGTCTCTCTGAGTCCTGACTCCATCAAAGCTCCAGCTCTCCTCGTGTCTCTCTGAGTCCTGACTCCATCAAAGCTCCAGCTCTCCTCGTGTCTCTCTGAGTCCTGACTCCATCAAAGCTCCAGCTCTCCTCGTGTCTCTCTGAGTCCTGACTCCATCAAAGCTCCAGCTCTCCTCGTGTCTCTCTGAGTCCTGACTCCATCAAAGCTCCAGCTCTCCTCGTGTCTCTCTGAGTCCTGACTCCATCAAAGCTCCAGCTCTCCTCGTGTCTCTCTGAGTCCTGACTCCATCAAAGCTCCAGCTCTCCTCGTGTCTCTCTGAGTCCTGACTCCATCAAAGCTCCAGCTCTCCTCGTGTCTCTCTGAGTCCTGACTCCATCAAAGCTCCAGCTCTCCTCGTGTCTCTCTGAGTCCTGACTCCATCAAAGCTCCAGCTCTCCTCGTCTCTCTCTGAGTCCTGACTCCATCAAAGCTCCAGCTCTCATCGTGTCTCTCTGAGTCCTGACTCCATCAAAGCTCCAGCTCTCCATCGTGTCTCTCTGAGTCCTGACTCCATCAAAGCTCCAGCTCTACCTCGGTCTCTCTGAGTCCTGACTCCATCAAAGCTCCAGCTCTCCTCGTGTCTCTCTGAGTCCTGACTCCATCAAAGCTCCAGCTCTCCTCGTTGTCTCTGAGTCCTGACTCCATCAAAGCTCCAGCTCTCCTCGTGCTCTCTGAGTCCTGACTCCATCAAAGCTCCAGCTCTCCTCGTGTCTCTCTGAGTCCTGACTCCATCAAAGCTCCAGCTCTCCTCGGTGTCCTCTCTGAGTCCTGACTCCATCAAAGCTCCAGCTACTCCTCGGTGTCTCTCTGAGATTCCCCCACAGTATGTTAATGTGTTTTAATGTAACTATGTTTGTATACATGTGTTGTGAGTCCTGACTCCATCAAGCTCCAGCTCTCCTCGTGTCTCTCTCTGAGTCCTGACTCCATCAAAGCTCCAGCTCTCCTCGTGTCTCTCTGAGTCCTGACTCCATCAAAGCTCCAGCTCTCCTCGTGTCTCTGAGTCCTGTCTCCATCAAAGCTCCAGCTCTCCTCGTGTCTCTGAGTCCTGACTCCATCAAAGCTCCAGCTCTCCATCGTGTCTCTCTTTGAGTCCTGACTCCATCAAAGCTCCAGCTCTCCATCGAGTCTCTCTTTGAGTCCTGACTCCATCAAAGCTCCAGCTCTCCTCGTCTCTCTCTGAGTCCTGACTCCATCAGAGCTCCAGCTCTCCTCGTGTCTCTCTGAGTCCTGACTCCATCAAAGCTCCAGCTCTCCTCGTGTCTCTAGTCCTGACTCCATCAAAGCTCCAGCTCTCCTCGTGTCTCTCTGAGTCCTGACTCCAATTGCTTCAGAAGTTTCCCCCACAGTATGTTAATGTGTTTTAATGTTAACTATGTTGTATACATGTGTTGTGCACACGACAGAAATGCCTAGAGAGATGCATGTTATTTACGTTTGCTTTCTCTCATTCCAGGCTTCCTGATTATTTTCACCTGTGTCTCCTAGTACTCATCAATTCAGCCCCGCCCCTGATTGGTCCCACCTGTGTCTAGTTACCCCTGTGCTTATATTCCCCTGTCTCCCAAGTGTTCTTTGTCAGTTCGTATTGTCTCTTGCTATGGTCAGGTCTATGCTCTTTGTACTCTTGTAAAGTTTGATTCCTCACTACGTGAGCGCTTTCATTTTGTTCCTCTATTTTGTCATCTCGGTTAGAGATTTGATAGTTACCTTTTTTGTTGTTCATTGCTGTATTTTGGAAAAATAAAGTATCTTACTAATACTTACCTCTGTCTCCCGGGTCGTGCAATTGGGTCCTACATCCTAAGTGTCTGAGTTCGTAACAACATGTATGTGAAACTGCAGGATGGAGATTAGAACACATTTCCTTACGGGACAATATAGTATATCGTATCGTATCGTCAATTACATGATTGGTTGTTGCCTCTTTTCCATAAGCACAAGCTCAGAAAAATCAAGCTTGTTCCAAACATATTTTTTTTTAAAAGGTGCTTTTTCAGATTTTCTGATCCGAGTAAAAATTCAATTACAATGTTATATATAAACTAATATAGAACTGTTGCTACATACTGTTTACTGTTTTATAAATGTATGTATATCAATGCTTTATGAAGGGAGCTAAAGGGAACTTCATTATTGAAATGAAAATGTGGTGTTTTCCAGAAATACCTCTGTAGAAAAACTCACAAAAGACTTCACTAAACTATTAGAGTTGTTGTGCTGTGTTGGTACAGTTAGCTGTAATGATGACCAGCCCTTTCCCTCTCATCCTCCTCACCTTACTCCCCCTCGGAACCACAGGGAGAAAACCCCCTCCCCTTAATTAAACACGGACCCCGGGACCGAGGCTAAAATGCAATTTGTAACGATTTCCCAGCGCCGAGACTTTGAATGATACCAACGCTCTTTATGCTGACCGAAGGACTTCTGACCGCAGCTAATCTCCCATTGAAAGCCATTAGAGACCCCCCACCCCCCCCCCCAATGACCCAGCCACACCATTCTCCTCACATCCAGCCACTTACATTACTGCAGAATACTAACATTGGAGACGTAAGAAGTGTTGTTGTGGACGACTTTAAACCTCCTGTCGTGTTCGGGTCAAATCTGAACATGTTTGAGGGTTGCTGCATTATTCAGACGCTGGTGGGAGTTAGCTTCTTTTAGCTAAACCATCAATTAGCATGCTTGTGTAGCATTATTAAATGAGCCAGGCCTGTTAGCTTACAATTGTGCAGCATGTAGTAGGAGTATACGCTACTCTCTATATATTAGAGTGGTGCAGGAATGGGTCCTAAAACCCAGAATGAGTCAGCATATTCTCTTCCCTTGTCTCAAAGCTAATGGTTTTCTGAATGTGTTTAAGCGGAGGACAGAAAGCTAATAAGAGCTAAGTAAGAGCTAATAAAGCCATGACACACGTAATGTCCTTTTTGGAAAAATACCTGAAATAACTACAAATGTAACGATCAAACCTTTAACAAAAGAGAGAAACCATCATAATGTGATGCAGGAAATGAGGTTAAAACCATAACATGACTTGTTTCAAGGGTTTTCTGGATGTGTTTTTGGTTGTTAGCCTGAAAAAAGGTGAGCTAACGTTAGCTTTTTACTTCATAAATCATAAAGTGCTGTTAATATGTGGCGATGATCGTGCTGCACAAAACCTTTTAGTATCATAAACATTTGTTATTTATTGTTTTATTATTAAAGAAGTCGTTTCTTACGTTGACAGACTCTCTCCCGGCGTATTTGACTCGGATCCTCGGCTCCTGAACTACGTCCAGATTAGTCCCCGTCACCATCAGAGGAGTGTGTCCACTGAGGGAAAGAAACACAATTCAATCCACAAGCTCTAACAATGACAGCTCAATTCCTCCAATTCAAAATGCAAAGAGACAAAGACAGAACAACACAGAATTCAAAGGCGGCTGTACATAAATATTCTCCACCATCAGTGGAAAAGAGTGCAATCAAAACGTCTTTCATCCTCCCTTTCTTTCAGGAGATAATAGCCTTCAGAGTGGAGGTGATTATAAATGCTTTTATAACCGGCTACAATCAACCGCTGCAGGTTTGTGCTTGAAATACGGATCGTGCATATCAACGACGGTCTGACGGTGGATGTGCAGCTGGGTTTGTTGATTTGTTTCTGTAGAATAAAGAGGATGCCGCAGGCTCTAAAGAGTTGTAATGAAAGTCCGATGGGTCCATGGTGGATAGTGAGGTACTGTAGACACTGTGCTGTCTTCAATCAAATGTAATGCTAACTTTTAACCACATTTTGAGATAATCTGCAAAAGTAAGTTAAAATGATGCTTGTTTTTATGAGGCGTGTGGCGGCAGTGGGTTGTGCGTATGTGTTCGGATCAGGGGGGCACAGGTTCGACACCCCACTGCAGTCAGCATGTCGTTGTGTCCCTGAGACACCTCACCCCAAATTGCTCCTGTGGTGATTGTCCACAGTATTGAGTATGTAAGTCGCTTTGGATAAAAGCGTCTAACAAGTGACATGTCATGATTATTGATTATTTGTTCATCAAGAAAGGCAGTGGGTTGAACTTTTTGCACAGACGACACTTAAAGAGCACAAGTCGGACCTCGAAGGTGATCAAAATGTCATAACAATTGGTTGAAATCCTTCATTTTGTCAGTTTTATGCAAACGCAATGTCTCATCAATCAGTTTCATTTTGCTTTTCTCCCGTCACCAACTTCCACACCGCAGCCAAGAGGAAAAAACGTTTTGATTAGCAGTTTGGGGGAATTTTCAGTGTTTTTTATTTTGCAACTGAAAATGTGAATCAAAACATGTATGTAAATATCTATCTATGCATCTTCTATCTATGTTTCTACCTGCCCACCTCAGCTGCTGTTTCATCTTTCCCTTCAATTAGTAGTGTGTGTGTGTGTGTGTGCGTGTGTGTGTGTGTGTGTGTGTGTGTGTGTGCGTGTGCGTGTGCGTGTGCGTGTGCGTGTGCGTGTGCGTGTGCGTGTGTGTCTCTAGAGGTTACTAGATGGATTGGAGATTCTCCATCTCCCCAGTCTGATATCCGTGGCTCTTCTATCAGATCTTCACTAATTGGCAGAAAGGCGAGCAGTAATTGAAAGTGTAATATTGACGTGTGTGTGTTTGTTATTGCTGCACAGATCTAAAGCTCTGCAGGGGGGGGGGGGGGGGGGTCCAGTGTGTGGAGTGTGTATAATTAATATGTTTATTTAGTGTAGCATCTTTCACAGAAATACGTGCTTCACCCAGCAAAAACAAAAGTTAAAATTAAGACTACATTAACAACATGAGGCAGAAAGTAAGGTCAACATAAAAACTAAATTTAGACCACGTAGAGTCCTGAAAGGAACAAACATAAGACAGAACACATCCACACATCTCAAGTAGAAACAAAAGCAACGTAAAAAGATGGGTCATTCAGTTGTTTTTTTAAAGGTCACCTATTGTGGGCCAAATCCACTTCTTTCATGTCTCTTCTTCATCAACATGTGTCCCCTCTTCTTCATGTCTCTTCTACATCAACATGTGTCCCCTCTTCTTCCTGTCTCTTCTAATCAACATGTGGCCCCTCTTCTTCATGTCTCTTCTACATCAACATGTGTCCCCTCTTCTTCATGTCTCTTCTACATCAACATGTGTCCCCTCTTCTTCATGTCTCTTCTACATCACATGTTGTCCCCTCTTCTTCATGTACTCTCTCACATCCAACAGTGTCCCCTCTTCTTCATGTCTCTTCTACATCAACATGGTGTCCCCTCTTTTCCATGTCTCTTCTACATCAACATGTGTCCCCTCTTTTCCATGTCTCTTCTACATCAACATGTGTCCCCTCTTTCTTGCATGTCTCTTCTACATCAACATGTGTCCCCTCTTCTTCATGTCTCTTCTACATCAACATGTGTCCCCTCTTCTTCATGTCTCTTCTACATCAACATGTGTCCCCTCTTCTCATGTCTCTTCTACATCAACATGTGTCCCCTCTTCTTCATGTCTCTTCTACATCAACATGTGTCCCCTCTTCTTTATGTCTCTTCTACATCACATGTGTCCCCTCTTCTTCATGTCTCTTCTACATCAACATGTGTCCCCTCTTTTCCATGTCTCTTCTACATCAACATGTGTCCCCTCTTTTCCATGTCTCTTCTACATCAACATGTGTCCCCTCTTCTTCATGTCTCTTCTACATCAACATGTGTCCCCTCTTCTTCATGTCTCTTCTACATCAACATGTGTCCCCTCTTCTTTCATGTCTCTTCTACATCAACATGTGTCCCCTCTTCTTCATGTCTCTTCTACATCAACATGTGTCCCCTCTTGTCCATGTCTCTTCTACATCAACATGTGTCCCCTCTTCTTCATGTCTCTTCTACATCAACATGTGTCCCCTCTTCTTCATGTCTCTTCTACATCAACATGTGTCCCCTCTTCTTCATGTCTCTTCTACATCAACATGTGTCCCCTCTTCTTCATGTCTCTTCTACATCAACATGTGTCCCCTCTGTGGAAAGAGACTCTGAAAGTTTTCAGGAAGAAAGATTCTCTCTCTTTTTGTCCTGATCCATTTATATAAAAACCTATCTGAAAATGAGCTGATCAGATGTTGGCCACTTTATGATGTCATAACGATGTTTTGGCTTGTGTAACCATTAGCCAATCAGCAACCAAGGTAACCCCCCCCAAAAGCACAGTCACCTTTTTAGTTTTTACACGAGACCGTGGGACAGCCAGTGTGTGTTGGTGTGTGTTGGTGTGTGTTGGTGTGTGTGTTGGTGTGTGTTGGTGTGTGTTGGTGTGTGTTTACCCTGGCGATGCTCCAGTCGGGGTCGATGCGCTGCACGGTGGGATCCTCGATGTACTCGAAGGTGAGGCTCTCTCTGATCTGAGCACGGTCCACGCTCACACTGATCTGCACCGCACCCACGCCCGCCAGCGAGAGGGCGGAGTAACACACGATCTCCGCCATCGTCCGCCTGCAGGGGAAGCACAATGAAAACTATATTTAAACATGTGTCGCGTACTCCTGTCATGATATGTTTTTTCATTATTATTTCTTGTTGGCTGTTCTGTTTGTCTTCTATGTTGAAAAACAGAAGCATGATGTCCACCCCAAAGAAGTCTGTACTATTGCTTACACTTGTATGCTTCTTATAAACATGTGTCGAGTAGGGATGAGACAATACGGGACTTTAACACAGTGAAAACGTTCAGGAAACAATAACTTGATAATGGTCTATTTGCATTACGGATAGTTAGGAAAAAAGCGCTACAAATTCAAAAACCATGCGGATATAAAAACACAAATGTCCCAAAACACATGAAGAAACATCTTCACCAACTTGAGGAACATGAGCAGCGTTTACTAAAAGCTGCAAATACAAAACGCTGCAAGAAGTTCAAAACACAACGGAGACCAGGGGACACTAAAGAGTGACGCACACAGCTGGGAGACCAGGGGACACTGAAGAGTGACGCACAGGATTATAAAGCTGAACAACTGTCTCTGTCTCAGAGTTAGTCTGGGTGGTTCTCAATGTCGAGGATGCTTGCTTGGTAGCACATGTCTTTCCGAGTCACCTGCTTCAGAAGCGAGGCAAGAATCCCTCCTAGCCTCTGAAAACGAAGAATGGTGGAACAAGGCTAAAAGGTGTGCAGGTGAGGCGTCATATGCGAGGCCCCTCCTTAAATGGAGCGCGATTTCCTCCGCCGAAAGATTTGGAAATTGGTCCTGTGCGCAAAGCATTGTGGGGATTTTAAGACCGCAGAGTCTACACATGTGCAGCCTCAACATTTCTCGCTACGAAGTACGCCGGCCTCGGTAGAATTCCAATGTATGCTGGACATTGGAACAGTCCTTCAGCGGGACTCGATGACATAGTATGCTTGAAATAGTGGCTCTGGAGCAGCCTTCCTCAACATTGAGAAACACCCTCTGACTCATAACTGTAAGTGTTTGTCAGTATATCTCTAAATGACTAGGTTAGCTACGTTAGCTAGCTAGCTTACAGCAGTGTCATGTGATCACACATTGTTAAAATAAGACCATGAAACATTTTAGAGACAAAATACAGAATATTAGATGTCTCTTTTGTTGGAAACTAACAGTTGGTGAAGATGTTTCTTAACTTGCATGTGTTTTGGCATATTGGTGTTTTTTTATATGTGCATCCTTTCTGAAGCTGCAGTGCACTTCTCCTCATATTGGAAGTATTGTTGCCGTTGTAGCGTGTTTGCACCTTGTCGGCCACCTTAAGAAAATGCACTGTAGCTATTGTGATATGATGAATTTCAAATACCTGAACCATGACAAATAATAAGACTTTAGCTAACTGAGATTGTAATAAAACTCCTTAAACATGGAACATTTATCAGAGGTCTCCGTGCTGCTGTGCTCCCCCTCCCTCCCTCTCATCCCCATGAATGTGTCCTAATTTATTAGCAGCGAGAGCGTCCAAATGCCAGGAATACAGCGGAGAACCAGAACCCAGTAATTAGCCTGGTGTCTCATTAAAGCTGACCTTACAACATTACAGTCAGAGAGCCGCGATTAAAATAGAAACATTCAGAGGTGAGGGGTGGAAGGGAGGAGACTAAAAACAGAGCAGGAGAGATATGGAGGAGGGAGAAGGAAGAGGAAGAAAGCTCCATAGGCGTCAGCGGGCTTTTCTAGGAGCTATTATTACAGGCTTTAATGCAGCAGGTCATCAAAACCTTATTAAGATTTACACACGTTTGTGAGAGGCTCTCCCCTCGGGGGTCTCTCAGGGAGACGAGGGAGGCGCTGTGAAATAGAGCTGCTTCTGTAATGGGAGTTTACGTTTCATCCAGGGAACAAGAGCGCCTTTCATTTGGCTCTCAGTGTGCTTGCATATCTAATGCTTCCTGACAGTGATGTATGTACAACGTAAAACATACAAAGAGACTCAAAGATTGTTATATTTATCTGAAGTGAAGGGTGCTTCCAGAAGACAACATTTAGTCAGTTTTAATCGGTGGTGGGATGCAGGTATATTTACTCAGGTAAGTACAAAATGAAGGTAGTTGTAATTGACGTGGGTATGCGAATACAGATGGAGCAACACAGAAACACTAATTGAGAAATGTTTTACCTTTAATATAATTATTTAGCTTCCTCTGATATGGTTATTGCACTGGTCCAAAATGCAATATTGATTAAAAAAGAAAAGCGCTTTTTTCAGAAAGAAATCTGAAATAATAAAATTAAAAATAATTTATTTTAAAAACAAAACAAAATATTTAAACAATACAGATACAAATATATATTTAGTATAAATATGTCAGCAACATTATTATTTGGATTTCATTTGTGCACTGTGAAACCAATCCAGAATAAATGGCGTAAGAACCAAAGTAACAATTTCACTCTGATTCGGAGCAAAGCGATCGAAATGAGAACGGCCTTAATGTTGAAGAAGTTGTAAATTAAAAAAAGAAATATTTGACAACTTGCAACCATGAAGTGTAGAAAAACAAAGGCCATTAAGCGCTCCTGTCTTTTCTTTTTTAATAATGTAGATGTCAGTTAAACACTCACAGTGCGTTTCATTCACTTACTCACATCTCCATGATTCTCTAACGCTTCAAAGGACAATTTGTGTTTTCATTTGCACTTTATTTAATTCCTTCCCACCTCGTCTTAATGTGTGATAGAAGGTCTTTCTCCATGAACGGTCTGTGTTAAACAAAAGCGCGATCACCATGTGTTTCATCACGTTACACTTTATAGGACAAGCTTTAAATAAATGATTTCACGAGTAGAGTCTCACCCGAAGAACTCGCACGTCTGGTTTCCAAACTGGACGTTGACGCTGCTGCCGGCCCCCAGGTTGTCCCCCATTACGGTGACTTTGGTTCCCCCAGACTCAGGCCCTCTGCTGGGGGACAGACCTAACACTGTGGGGGTCTGAAAACACAGAGAACCAGAGGTTAAGAGAGGGAAATAAACAGACGAGGAAAGAACAAAGCACTGGTGAGTAAAAGATGTTCTCGTGTAAAAAGGGGCAGCATCTCTGCGGGTCGCTCTTGAAACCTTTAGAGAATTACAGTTATTCATATTGCAAGTGGAGTGCAGCGCTGGTGGGAGAAAAGAGGATAAACCAGGAGCTCTTAGAGTCCCTGTGTGTGTGTGTGTGTGTGTGTGTGTGTGTGTGTGTGGTGTGTGTGTGTGTGTGTGTGTGTGTGGTGTGTGTGTGGTAGTGTGTGTGTGTGTGTGTGTGTGTGGTGTGTGGTGTGTGTGTGTGTGTGTGTGTGTGTGTGTGTGAGTGAAGCCTTTTAAAGACAGTCTGAAAATAACTAGTGTTTACAGCTGCAGGCAGCGAGCCGCCGTCACACAGACAGATGGAGGAATATCCGAGCAGACAGCCGTCAACACGCACTCCATGTGCACAAACATTTAAAAAGAAACTAAATGCAGGGCTGTCGTTTACGCTGGCCCTTTGCCAGCCGCTCAAATATAGAGAGGTGGCACAGATGACGAGGAAAGCCAATGGGATTTTCTCCATGTGATTTGGGTTATAGCAGAAAATAATCTCACACGTTTATGATGCTTACACGTTTTGTTCAGCGGGATACATCTCAACATATTAACACCTCTTTATGATTTTTAATAAGAAGCTAATATAAGGCTATAAAGGAACTACAGCACGGTCACATGACTTCACGTCTCACCCAGCCGCTAAGCTAAAGGTGGCTAATGTTGGGCTATAAAGGGACGGCAGCACAGGGTCACATGACTTCACGTCACCAACCGCTAAGCTAAAGGCGGCTAATGTTGGGCGGTCATAACGTTTAGTCGTCTCATTTAGACACTTGTAGCAACCACTGTTTATAAATTCACCAGTGGGGTATTTACTGACATTTTCATGTCATAGATCAAATGTAAAATCTCTTCATCTTGTGTTTTTTGTCTCATGGCTTTACCAGCTTTCTGTCCTCCTACTTCAACCATGTTTTCATGAACCTTGATTGATTGTATATATTCATTTTGAATTAGTTGAATAAAATAGGCAGCGATGAGGAAAAGTAGCAGAGCCATTATGAGAACAGTGTTGAAGTGAGTGTCAGGATGCAGGCTGCAGCAGGTACCCTGAACACAACAGCAATAATTAGCGACTGCTGCTAATTGTTAAGGGAGTGCTAATTGTGAAGGTGAGAGGGTGCAAATGGGAAAGTAGATTATCTGTTGCTGCAGGCGGATCAACACAGCGAGTGACAGGGACAGGGAAATGTGTGTGTGTGTGTGTGTGAACGTGTGAGGAGATAATGTTTACCTGCTGAGAGCAGCGCCACTTTTTTATTTTAGCAAGAAGATTGTTCCTTTGCCCCGCCGTACAATCACATTTGATCTGTTTATCTCGTTTTTATCACTTTGTACAAGCTAGCATCTGAGGAAAACTGATAATATATTATTTAGTTTTCTATCCATTGGAGAGGTGTTGCTCAGCACTGAAGTATTCATTTTGACTACCAGAACTGTTTCTATAAGACCCTGTTCTCATTTAGCTTCATGATGCTATCTCCTAAAAGGCAAACAGCATCTGCAGGAAGCAATAATGAAATAATTGTGCTGTTTATGAAAGAATTAAGAAAATGACAAGTATGGAAACAGAGCAATTACACCGTCTGCAGGAATGAAAACGTCGCTGTTCGCCTGTGGCAATTCATTTGCAAGAAAATCACTTTAATTTAACTAAGTGTGTGTTTTGTTTCCCTTTAATGAAGCGTTACTGAGTACAGCACACTTTGCTGCAGCTATTCGTTGTTTTGTATTATGTAATACTTAAAGAGGCCCTATTGTGCTTTTTTGGGGTGTTCCTGTAGTGTGTAGGTTTAGTGCATGTAAATAGTCTGCATAGTTTCTCTCCACCACTCGCGCTCCTACTGGCTAGCGCTCCAACACATTGTACGTGATAGGCTAAGGGGCGGGACATCTCTAAGCGGTGGACCAATCACAACAGAGCGGGCCAGCTAACCAATCAGAGCAGACTGGGCTCTGGTTTCAGACAGAGGGTGAAAAGAGGTGCTGCAGCACAGGCAGTATGAGAAAAATAAAGAGCTGTTTGAACATTAAAGCATGGAGACATGTAGAGACACTACATACTGATATACACCTGAACATCAGCAGGAGAGGACTCTTTAAAGTAGAGACACTACATACTGATATACACCTGAACATCAGCAGGAGAGGACTCTTTAAAGTAGAGACACTACATACTGATATACACCTGAACATCAGCAGGAGAGGACTCTTTAAAGTAGAGACACTACATACTGATATACACCTGAACATCAGCAGGAGAGGACTCTTTAAAGTAGAGACACTACATACTGATATACACCTGAATCATAAAAGGATTATTTCTCAGAGCAGACTTGAATTGGAACAGGCTAACACATTGTACGTGCTAAGGATAAAGAGTAATGTGGTTTTAAGTCGTTGCAGTCTCACCACAAAGGAGTAGAGTTGTGCGGACCGCGCTCTGAGTTCTGGTCGACACTCGCCGACACACAGCTGCACCGGACCGGCTCTGAAGTCTGCAGGAGCGGCATCCATCTCACACACAATCCTACACACACACACACACACACAACAGGGCATCAAAATCATGTACATACAACAACAAATGTGAAGCAAAACGTTACAAAAAGGCTGTGAATTCTTGCGGTTGTAGTCCTTATGACGTGAGCAAAAGAGATCATTCTGAAGGTGGGGTTTTCTCCATTGCCTTCTTGGTTTATTGTACCAGAAGTAACACAAGCAGGTGGAGCCTTTTCAGGAACTCAAATATTGTAGTTATCAAAGATCATGAAAGAAAAGACACACTGTGAAAAGGTTAAAGTTTGGTAGTGACTGTCAATCACACGGTAACTTAGCACTTAGTAAATGAGTTGGTTGAAATTACAGTTCAATTATTGATGTTATTGCCAAGTTTAAATGGATTAAACTGATGATTGGTAAAGTCCAGAACCAGAATGTGTTGCCATCGCTTCCTCTCTGTCTCTGTCAGGAAGCCTGCTGTTTCTGTAACAACTGAGAGCAACTTTAAAACGGACTTCTTAATAAGGTAAATTAAAAAAATACAAAATGGAAGTGTCAGCTCCTAAGAAAGAATTACATTATAGCTGCCGAAAAAAAACCCACAAAAATTGAGGCTTTTACTTCAAAACAGAAGCATCTTTCAAACTGTCTTCTGAAGCAGCAACATGGAGGTCATAAATATGTACGCTTTTTTTTATATCTAGTTTAATTTATCCTAGTAAATGAATTGAGACGGATAAGTCAGATGAGGACACAAGAGTGAGACCCGGCTGAATTAAAGTCCAGCGCAGAACTCCAGACTGAAGAGGTCAGAGGTCCCTTTTTTCATTTCGCTCACTCTATTGTTTTTGCATTCCCAAATTAATGAATCCTCCAGCTTGTCCCCATTGGATTAAAGTGCTGTCAGATCAGACACTGATGACAAATTGTCCCCTGCAGCCAAAGTGGCTTATATAGTGATTTTTAATTAGAAATTAAGAGTAAAAAACTTGATATAGTGTATCTTATACACACTATGCTTGAGCTTAATATACTAGCAGGGAGACACTACATACTGATATACACCTGAACATCAGCAGGAGAGGACTCTTTAAGTAGAGACACTACATACTGATATACACCTGAACATCAGCAGGAGAGGACTCTTTAAAGTAGAGACACTACATACCGATATACACCTGAACATCAGCAGGAGAGGACTCTTTAAAGTAGAGACACTACATACTGATATACACTTGAACATCAGCAGGAGAGGACTCTTTAAAGTAGAGACACTACATACTGATATACACCTGAACATCAGCAGGAGGGACTCTTTAAAGTAGAGACACTACATACTGATATACACCTGAACATCAGCAGGAGAGGACTCTTTAAAGTAGAGACACTACATACTGATATACACCTGAACATCAGCAGGAGAGGACTCTTTAAAGTAGAGACACTACAGACTGATATACACCTGAACATCAGCAGGAGAGGACTCTTTAAAGTAGAGACACTACATACTGATATACACCTGAACATCAGCAGGAGAGGACTCTTTAAAGTAGAGACACTACATACTGATATACACCTGAACATCAGCAGGAGAGGACTCTTTAAAGTAGAGACACTACATACTGATATACACCTGAACATCAGCAGGAGAGGACTCTTTAAAGTAGAGACACTACATACTGATATACACCTGAACATCAGCAGGAGAGGACTCTTTAAAGTAGAGACACTACATACTGATATACACCTGAACATCATCAGGAGAGGACTCTTTAAAGTAGAGACACTACATACTGATATACACCTGAACATCATCAGGAGAGGACTCTTTAAAGTGGAGACACTACATACTGATATACACCTGAACATTATTATTATATAATTTATACGTCGAGATGTTCTAATAAAGAGTTGCATTTTCTCAACAAGTGAAACTAAAACAAACCTAATCCAGAAATGTAAATATGTATTTAGGCCGAACCATCAGTGTGTATATCCCTGCCTTACTGTAGTGAGGTCTGCCTCTTCAGGGGGGGTAACACTACCATAAGGCTGCAGCTAGTGTGTGTGTGTGTGTGTGTGTGTGTGTGTGTGTGTGTGTGTGGTGTGTGTGTGTGTGTGTGTGTGGTGTGTGTGTGTGTGTGTGTGTGTGTGTGTGTGTGTGTGTGTGTGTGTGTTGTGTGTGTGTGTGTGTGTGGTGTGTGTGTGTGTGTGTGTGTGTGTGTGTGTGTGTGACTGATGGCAGTGTTTCATTAGTTCAGGGTGACGTGATGTATGCACAGCACGGGACAATTAGGGAGGTAAACAGGAGTAAACACACACAGCTGCTGTGAACACATGAGCTGCAGACAGACAAGGGGGGGGGGGGGGGGAGGGGGAGGGGGGGGGGGGGGGGGTCGATGTCTGCAGACATGTTGCAAAATCACAAACAAAAACATACGTTAGATTAAAAGACTCAATGCTGGGTCTCAATGTGGACACCTTGCTCAGTTTACAGGCACTTTCACACAGACATTGAGCTATTTGATATTCATAATGATTCATATTTGAATAAATGCAAACACTTTTAATTGTTGAATCGAGGATTTTGCATTTTATACTGTATTACATTTGGTATTTGTGTATCCTACTTATCCTTGTGTGACCTGTGCTACCATGTGCTTCAATCTTATTCGGTTGCTTCTTAAACACTTCAATAATACATATTTAATCTTATCTTCCACTGCATGTTGTACACTGTTATTATTGCGCAGTGTGTGAAAGTAGTTTTTGTATTTGGGATTGTGGGAAACGGTATTTCGAATAAAGTTGACTTTGACAATGCCTATACATCTCACAGTCAACGGATCAGTGTAATGTGTGTAGTCTTAAAGCAGCACATTAATACAAATGAATTCAACATTTGTTAAAGCTTCTCCTGGTACTCACTGCTCAGCGATGATGTAGCCCTCCTCCACGGGGGAGCAGCGGACCCCCGCCACCTCCACGTTGCCCACCATGTCGGAGAAGGCGAGGCCCAGGTTGGTGCCGTGGATCGTGACGAGAGTTCCTCCCTCGGGGGGGCCGGCCACGGGGGTCACCTGCAAGGGGGAGAGAGGGGGGGATTTAGATTTTAAACAACAATGAGCTTATTTTACTAGACATTGAGAGAGAATTTTCTTTTTTAGATTTTAGACAGAGTTAAAACCTTTCATGTGTCTTTTTGTTTCTTTCTTTCTACATTTGATGCGGATTTGTAATAATATATTGTTGTAAATTGTTTATTTAAATAGACCTTAAAAAAACATTAATTCATTATATATTCAGTAGACCTATCACGCACACACACCGCGCGCGCAACGCACGCACACACACACACACACACACACACACACCCACACACACACACCACACACACACACACACCACCACACACACAACACACACACCACACACCCCACCCACACACACCACACACACACACACACACACACACACACCCACACACACACACACACCACACACCACCCACACACACCACACACACCCACACTGTTTTCTACCTGACATTCATGCCGATAACGCATATTGAATTGAATTGAATTGACAACAGGAGTGAATCTCCAGATACCCTCCCGACTCACTGGGGAGGGGCTCTGTTTCTAGACTTTCAGTGGACATTAATCGCTCTGGATGTAAAGTAAGTGTGTCACTGCTCCGCCTGAGGGGGGGTCTTCATATATGAATCTCTTAACACTGCTTGGGCATACAGTGAGGGGGGGAGAACAAGAGGAGAGGGGGGGAGTATGGTTAAATATCCATGTCAGAAGATGGAGCAGCTATTGGAGCAGACGTATTGATGGTTACATAATGTGACGCCTGAGAGAGCAGAGCGAGGAAGAGGAGGGGAGGAGGAGGAAGAGGAAGAGGAAGCCTAGTTGTTCATGCATGCCCCCCTCCCTCCCTAACTCCCCCCTCAGTGCTGCTATGCTCTCTCTGTGTGTAATCCCTTTAATGGCCGCCGCCTGCATCGTCACACTGTCAACAACACGGGGTAATTCCCAACAAGATTCCACATTGAAACTCCCCCCTCCTCGTTTCCCGCTCTTTCTGAAGCATTATCTATTCCAGAGGATCTCAGTTTCACCACCACTTCCTTACACATTGTGCAGATGACCTAAATTGATGATGGGAACCCTTTTGAGGAGATAATCTGAGAATCTATGGAGGCAAAAATGGTCGCCAAAGTGGTGTCGACTTATTCAGCTCTAGATATATATTTTTTGGGGGGGGGGAGTTGTGCAGATGCAGGAAAAAAAGCAACAAACTTCCTGCAGGCTGTGCAGCTCCTGCGACAACGCAGAGGTAAAAATAACCCAATCTACAGTGAGAATATACAACGTCAGCGTTTTAATTTTACGTTCTATATTATTAACCTTTAATCACGGTTCCTACAGCTTAAGGCAACTTACATTCAATAATTTACAGCGCTTTTTAATGAAATTCAAGACCAATTTTTCTCCGATGCGGATATTTGTGACCTTAATGTGAAAGACATTTGGGTAATATTTAAAAAACCAGATCACGTGTGAGCTATTACTTTGAGATTTTACAATGCAAAGGCAGATTTTTGAGACTGATTCGAGACATTTTAAACCCAATTAAAGGCCTTCATTTTAGATTAATGAATTCAGTGCCTTTCAACACTATTAAAGTTTAATACACAGATTTATTACAAGCTTCTTGCCATAGCTGGAGATTTTTGCTTTAGAAATGAATCAGCCTTTGATAGAGTTGAGCAGCTAATCTCTTTGTCTTTGGACTCGGCTCAGGCTAATTCCTGCATGTCACATTTAATTGTGAGCAGCATTTAATGGGCTTTATAAAGCGCAGCTGATCACTTGTTCGCTAACAAACTACATCCTAAATACTTTATAGGCTCTTAAAAGTCTTGCAGCCAAGAGATACTACGGCTCTCGTGATGAGGAGGAAACGAGAGACACAGTAAACTCGATCTGTGTGTTTCAATGACATCTTAATTTAAGTGTACAGTACATGTTAACTGGCATATTACTGCAGGTTTGACTTCACTGTACAACATGCTACTGCTTCAATTTACTGTTTTAATCAAGGGAATGAGTCCTCAACCCAGACAAGACTCAGTATTATTTTAGCCTTCCTGTTCCCTCGTCTTGAAGTCAATGGTTTTTTGAATGTGCTTTTGGTTGTTATCCTGAAATAAGGTCTGTGGTTAACATAAGCTGAAGAGATTTAATTCTACGACATAAAATACGTCAGTATATAATACCCCACAGGTGAATTTAAAAACAGCAGTTGCTAACAAGTGTTTAAATGAGACAACTAAACGTCCAACATTAGCCACCTTTAGCTTAGCGGTGGTGACCTGAAGTCATGTGACCATGCTGTAGTTCCTTTATAGCCCAACATTAGCCACCTTTAGCTTAGTGGTGGTGACGTGAAGTCAAGTAACCGTGCTGTAGTTCCTTTATAGCCCAACATTAGCCGCCTTTAGCTTAGCGGTGGTGACGTGAAGTCATGTGACCGTGCTGTAGTTCCTTTATAGCCCAACATTAGCCACCTTTAGCTTAGCGGTGGTGACGTGAAGTCATGTGACCGTGCTGTAGTTCCTTTATAGCCCAACATTAGCCACCTTTAGCTTAGCGGTGGTAACGTGAAGACATGTGACCGTGCTGTAGTTCCTTTATAGCCCAACATTAGCCACCTTTAGCTTAGGTGGTGACGTGAAGACATGTGATGACGTGCTGTAGTTCCTTTATAGCCCAACATTAGCCACCTTTAGCTTAGCGGTGGTGACGTGAAGTCATGTGACCGTGCTGTAGTTCCTTTATAGCCCAACATTAGCCACCTTTAGCTTAGCGGTGGTAACGTGAAGTCATGTGACCGTGCTGTAGTTCCTTTATAGCCCAACATTAGCCACCTTTAGCTTAGCGGTGGTGACGTGAAGTCATGTGACCGTGCTGAAGTTACTTTATAGCCCAACATTAGCCACCTTTAGCTTAGCGGTGGTGAAAATAAAATATGAAATGTAAGTTGCCTTAAGCTGTAGGAACCCTGATTAAAGGTTAATAATATAGAACATAAAATGAAAACGCTGTAGATTGAGTTATTATTACCTCTGCATTTTATACCCCAACATCTCCAAAATCACATGGAGTAATCCCATTGGACCAGGGAGATGTTGCCTTTTTTTTTTACCTCTTTAAGTCACATTTGTCGGGGTCAAACTGGTCACTATAAGCGAATGATTATCCAAAATCCAATGGAAAAATCCCATTGGCTTTTTGTGGAGGGAACCAGGGAGATGCTGCCTTCAGGGTCCTGTACAGAAATACGACATCCCTGCAGCACTCTTTTTCAATAATCATATTAGGAGAGGCAACAGAGAACAAAGGACGGAGCAAGGGAACTGAACCAGGAAAAAGGGGGTGTTTTGGGGGGTGGAGCCCCTGTTTTCTGTCTACTCTCAATACTGTTTACATCTGTAGGAGGCAAAACCAACTCTGCATTAATTTAGATGATTCACATGAGCAGGTAGTTCAAATACACACAGACACGCCAACACCCCCCCTCGTCTGTCAGTGATTACAGTTCCTTTAAGAAGCAGACATCCCCCCGGTGGGCTGAATTTATTAATACATTTGGTTTTGATTGTATGCACCAAAGCCCCCGTCATGAGCTGATTTGTATACATACTAGCACATTAGTAGATGTGCCTACTAGCAGATAGGCCTGGTGAATAATTAATGCTTCTATTAAGTGCCATGGTGCCTCCCACCGCGGGACATTAATATTGAAGAGATGAATAAGCCCCCGCTAACAGCGAGGGAGCGACATCAAATGAAGCTGGGAGTTGGACGGTAAATGAAAGGCGTCTCCTCAACAGGCTTCACTCTGAGTTACAGAGAAGAGCTTCAGCTACCAGTGAGGGTCTGTTTGCAGCTCGTAGAGTCCTGTTGTGAACGCAAACATGTTGATACCCTAAAGTTTTACGATAGAAATGTACAGTACGGGTCCCCAGCACATAGAAACTACCGGATGCTAACCTGCATACGTTGGGCTATTTGCACAATTAGCACAAGTTGTGTCAATTAGCATTACAGCTTATCGTGACAACAGAAAGCCAACTAAAAATGGCTTGGTTCGATTTGGACAATTTCTGTGTGGTTTGGGGGGATGTTGAGGATGCTGAATCCATTTCTGACATTTTCAGGATCCAAAATCGCAGTTTTAACCAGAAAGTGGCCATAATTGTAAAACATTTTAAATTAATTTTGGGATGATTTTTGAGTTTAGTGGACTCTGGATAATTTGGATCAGACAGATTGCTTAGATATTTGAAAAACAAATCTCCACAGTAGAGAAAATATTTTTAATCTTGTGCTCTCTTATATCAAAAGGTTGGAAAACTACTTATGGTAGTTAACATCAGACAACAAGAGTACAAATATTGCCACTTTCTGGTAAAAAACTGCCAATTTTGATACGGAAAATGGCAGAAATGCATTCAACATCCTCAATAACCCCCAAAACCACTACTAAATTGTCGAAATCCGTCAAGCTATTTTTTAAATATTGTCCAAATACAGTCGCTAGTTAATGCAACTTATGCTAATTGTGCAAATTGCCCAACGTATGCAGGTTAGCATCCGGCAGTTTCTATGTGCTGGGGACCCTTACTATGATAAAACTTTGGGGTATTCAACATATCTTATTGTTGGTGTGTCGGTCAGTATGAAAGTACCCGATGAGTCAGAGACGGTGACACTCTGGAAAAAGTTCCTCTGTCTGGTCTGGATACAGTGAAATCAATTAACAGAGTCGTTAAAGTCACTTTTTAATTGGCTGGAGTTAGAGGTGAGTGCAGGGATGAATCGATGAAGAGGAGGAGGGGGTGGGGGGAAGGGGTCTGCTGGGTTAACCACAATGCACTGGTGCGTAACACAGCCTAATTAAAGAGCATGTCCTGTTGGAAAACAAGTAAACACTTCCAGGTCATGACCCTAAAGGAGGGGGGGGGGCTGGGGGGGGGGTCTCGACCTATATATACCGCATAAAAAACACTTTTACTTAAATTATATTTTGAACACAGGACTTTTACTTTTGATGGAGTATTTGTATGTGTTATCATCTCCTCTTCTATCCAGCAGCTGATTATCACTCATTGATCAGTGCTGGATGTGCGTGGGTAGCAGCAGGGAGAGCAGTGCATTGTGGGTACTTTATATAAAGAGGAAAAAGTACTTAGAACCTTTCATTTATAATATAACCCTGTTTTGATCACACAACCACGTACATGTCAGGGTCTGAGTTTCTCATTGTGGAGCTAATGCAAGACACTGGATGTAGAGAGCAGTGCATTGTGGGTACTGACCTCGGAGATGCGCGGGTTGGTGCACTTGACGTTCTTGGTGTCCAGGTGCAGCCAGCGGGTGGTGTAGGGGTTGGTGGGGGGGCAGTGGGGCCTCAGGGTGCAGCGCCCCTCCCCACTGCACCACCCACACTGGAACCTCCTCTCCGCCTTCAGACAGGTGCCACAGCTGTCCCTCTGCGCCGCACACTTGTACAGGTGCACTGTGGGAAATGGAGGCAGGGCAGTGAGCGTGCAGCACTCTAAGAACTACATACAAAAAAACATATATTTAAAGGGGCCTGTATATGCTTTTTTGGGGTTTTCCCTCTCCTGGAGTGTGTTCTTTAGGTTTGTGTGCATGTCAATGGTCTGCAAAGGCTAACATCCCTGTGTTTCCTCTTGAAACTTTGCTTAAAAAGGATAGAGAAATGAGGGGAATGGAGATGTTTGTTACATGTCACCATCTTCTTCCTGTCTGGCAACACATCTCTTGTTCTCACCTTGGATATTCTCCGGGTTATCGATGATGAAGTTTCCGTTCCACACCACGGAGAAATCCACCGGCAGCTCGCTGATCTTCATCCCCTCGTACAGGTACTGCAGGTCGAGGAGGAAGAGGAGGAGGGGGATGAGGAGGAGGAAGAGGGGGAAGAGGAGGGAGACAAAAGGAGAAATAATTTGAGTTCCCATGAGCCCTTGCAGTATCACTACTGTACAGCATGTCGTCCCAATGTTTCCTCAAGGTTTCATCATCAGAGAGCTGACAGACGCTCCTTCTGCTGTCCTTAGCTGCCTGCTGTGCCCTTTAACCAGCCTGCATTTGATTGTGTGTGTGTGTGTGTGTGTGTATGTGTGTGTGTGTGTGTGTGTGTGTGTGTGTGTGTGTGTGTGAGAGAGACAGTTAAAGTGCATGTCAGTGGTTCCTCTGGGAGTATAAGCAGAGTC